TTGAATGAAGTGAAAGACAACTAAGCACTACCAAAGCCATCTTAGGAACTTTTTTGACCAACCCAATGCCATCACTGCAGTCAAGGTAATAAACATATCCACAGCCTCTGTAAAATTTCTTGTGTTCTCTTGCTTTTGTTATTGTTGTTGTAAATACACTTAACCTGAGATTTACTGTCTTAACAAATTTTTAAGTGCACAACACTATATTGCTGACTATAGGGAGAATGTTATTTTGTAGATCTCTAGATCTTATTGATCTGGCATAACTGAAACTTTATACCTGTTTAATAACAACTCTCCATTTTCTCCAACCCAAGGAAGCTACCAATTGATTTTCTGTTTATATGTCTATTTTAGATACCTCATATGGAAGAAATCATGTAATATTTGTCCTTCTGAGACTGACTTAATTCACTTAGCATAATGTCTTTCAGGTCCAAGCATGTTGTCACAAATGGTAGGGTTTTCTTAATCTTTAAATCTGAATAATATTTAATTGTATATATATCCCACATTTTCTTTATCCACTTGTCTGTTGATAGACATTTAGATTGTTTCTATATCTTGGTTACTGTGAGTAATATTGCAATACATATTGGAGTGCAAGTATTGCTACAAGATCCCAATTTCAATTCTTTTGGATATATACCCAGGAGTGGAATTGCTAGATTATATGATTGTTATTTTTTAAATTTTTTGAGGAACCTCCATACTGTTTTCCATAGTGGCTGTACCATTTTACATGTACAAAGTTTCCAATTTCCACATGTCCTAACCAATACTTGTTATTCTTTTTTTTTATAAGTCATTCTAACATGTGTGGGGTCATATCTCATTATAGTTTTGATCTGCATTTCTTACCAGATTTGGCAATATGGAGGTTATTCATAGGAAAACATATGAATCAAAGAGGAGGCAATAGAGATAGCCCTGGTAGCTCTGATAGCCCTGGTAGAACTCTTTTGAGGAGTTTTTCTGTGGAAGCAAGCAGAAAAATAGGTACAGCTGACAGATATGGATGGATAATGGAACAAATAAAAGTGTTTTGTTTTTTAAGATGAGTGCTATTAGAGCATTTTTATATGCTGATGAGACTAACCAGCAGGGGGAGAGATTGATAATGCAAGGGTGAGGAGATGGATAACATTTATTTCCAGCCCCTTGCCCTGCCCTCTTTATAGTTCTCTGTATTTTTCTTCACCCAGTATCAAAGGGTTCACTGCTTTCCTGATCCTGGAGTCCTCTCACTTTCACTAAGTAAAATCACTTCTGTTTTCCACTCCTCAATTTTGATCATCACAAAATTAGTCTGTTCTTAGTCCCCTTCTTAATATGTCTTGTTCTTGGTTCACAGTCAAATTCAATAATAATCTAATAAAGGAAATTCCTTTTCTTCACCTGATGTTATCCCTGCCAAATGTATGATCTCATTTAGGGAGATTAGGTGAGCAACTTTTATGTGCCTGTTTTTGTTTTAGCTTGTCATTTTTTAATCTCAGAAACAGAGGGTTAAATTGTTCAGAGTCATCACAGTGTATTATCATTATGGTTCATACAGAGCACCTTCTGTGATGAATTTATCCCCTTTGATCATCACCCCCACTCTCATTCTCTATCCACTATGAGGATTTTCTTTTTTTTTAATTTAAATTTTTTTAAATTTATTTTTAGAGAGGGAAGGGAGGGAGCTAGAGAGAGCGATACATCAATGTGCAGTTGCTGGGGGCCGTGGCCTGCAACCCAGGTATGTGCCCTGACTGGGAATCGAACCTGCGACACTTTGGTTCTTAGCCCGCGCTCAATCCACTGAGCTACGCCAGCCCGGAGGATTTTCTTTTTTAAGTAATGAGCTCGAAAGAATTAATCTATGTTGACAGAATGTCAGTCACTGGGAAAGGTGGGGGAAGACTACTTGGGAGTGTGGGAGGAGAGACCTTCTCAAGGGACTTCAAATTATACCATTTTACAGGGTTCATTTCATTCTTTTTATATAATGATTCAGTAGTCACTATTAACTGGGGCTGGAAACAGGACGGACCTTAACTAGACCTTAAGTAGTTGAGATGTTTTCTTACTACATGGTCTCCTTAACTTGATTTTAGCTGGGTTTAGCACAACACCCCAAACATGTGGGTGCTTATAAATATTAATGTGCAATAACAATAATGATAAAACTTCTATAGGCTTAATTCACATTCTTACAACACACATGAAATTCCTCAGAGCATTTGAGATCTTGCTTCCCAGCATACGTCATCAATTTAGCTCAAATAAACTAATAACATTATTTTAAATAAACTCATCGAATTATTTTGACAGTTTTATATGCTTAATCAACATGTTGGATATATGATAAACAAACATGGAACCTACAATTTAACAACAAACAACTATTACTTCCACTATTATTAAGTGATGTACACCAATAACCTTACATAACCTACACAACATAGAGCATCCACTTCCAAGAAGAGTAACACATTGTTTTATATTTCTTGTATCTCATTTATTCAATAAAAGTTTTGTCATGATAAAAAACATTATTGGTACTAACACTCGTCCAGAAGTTAATTACTTAATGCAAGAAATGATTTTCTAGGTAGAGGGGAAAATGTGTATCTTTCTGTAGATTAGGTCATATTTTGCAATGTATTTTGAGATTTTCTTGCCAGAAGTATGAAATTTCTGACAAGATGATACAATATATTGAATTGAGAAAACTTAAAGGCAGAAACTAGTTTCCTTTTTCCTCCTAGATTTTTTTGTACTGGACTTCTAAATAGAGTCTAGACCAGGGGTGTCAAACTCCTTTTCACCAGGGGCCACATCAGCTTCCTGGTTGCCTTCAAAGGGCCGAATGTAATTTCAACTTCTTAACAGTTAAGGAGTAGTTACATTTATAGTCCTAAAATTATTTTGGGCCTTTGAAGGCAACCACGAGGCTGATATGGCTCCCAGTGAAAGTGAGCTTGACACCCCTGGTCTAGACCTTATCTTCATATTGTTCTATAGAACTCATATTTTGTTTTTTGGGTTTGTTTGTTGTTTGTTTTTTTGTATTTGTAGTATTTGATCTACAAGAGATGTACATTATTTTTTTAACTTTAAAGGAATATTCAATTTTGGAAAGTCTCCTGTACTAGATTTCAAACAAACTGGGAGAAAGATCCTATTTGACTTCAGTAACAGTGTAGTTTTCAGTAACAAGCTCAGTGTCTTTCTCATAAATATTGCCTAACTGTAGAAATGAAAGCAACCTTTACTTTCTCTAGATTTTTATACTTGACTTAAAATAACTTCAGAAAGTTTTAGTTAAACATAGAAGTAGCTATTGTGGACAAAAAAAGGGGTCACCTACTAGACCTGGGAAGCTCAGGGGAGGCTTGTGTGGTGGGCCTTCTAAACTCAGAGACTGAAAGTAACTGCAAAGGAATTTTCATGTCCAGACTAAATTAAAAGTGAGTCATGGCTGGTCATCAGTTCCGAGGCCTGTAACTTCCTTGACAAAGGCCAATCTTTACCTTAGATAAGCCAGTATATTGTCTTTTTGCATCTAAGATAACATACCCTTGGAATGTCAGAGAATCTGAAGACTACTCAGGGCACACCAGAGCCCCAGACTACAGAACCTCTCACTGTTATCTTGATCCTGGAATACCATCTATATGTGCTGTCAATGTTGATTATTAACTTACTTATACCTACCAATATAAAAGAAGGGTCACTGTATTTTACTCTTTATTTATTCAGTCTGAGATTCCCTCCCCGCACTTTGCTTTCTCCCACCTCCCTAATTGCCACCAATGAACTTCATGTAACTCTCCTTGTCTTTTCCTTTGACTTGAATATATAAAATAAGCTGTAAAACTGCCATTCTCTGGAGCATTTTCTCAGTCCATTGAGATTTTGCTTCCCAGTAATTGCTGTCAAGTTTGGCTCAGACAAACTCATAAAAATTCTCTACAGGTTTGGATGTTTCTTCTATCAAACTGCCCTCCAAAAATTTCTCACTTACTATTTGTGATCGCTAATAGGAATCAGCAGGAAAAAAAATCCCCAGGAAGATGGTAAAATATAAAAAGAAAAATAAAAAGAAACAAGGAAGGTCTTCTATATTACCCTCAACTGAGGCAAAAATTAAAAAGCTGATATTTTTAGAGTAAAAATGTTAAGTATTTTGTGCTTGCGTATACTCAATTTTTATATTATAAAAAATAGTTTAAAATTTTACTATAGGACGCAGTGTAAGTTTGAATCCTGGCTTTGCTGATTGTTGTGAGGCCTTGGTCAAGCTACCTGACCGACTTTTCTAAGCTTACTCTCTCCATCTATAAAAGGTAGTATCTACTTTTACCAATGGTTGTTTAGTTACATAAATCAAGTAAGACTGACTTAACACAGCGTTGGACACTTAACAAGCCTTGGTAGAGATCCTATCATTATTAGCAGTAAGTGATGTTAGTATCCCAGTGACTCGATCAAGGCAATATACATGCACACAGATGAAAATGCATACTTTAATCTTATTCACAGGTTATTACTAGGGAGGAATTTTAATAGCTGGACCCTTCAGCATTACCTCCTTGAAAAAAAATATTTACTGAGAAAATACAGTTGGTGTCCATACTTACTTGTACACATTGAGTATTATTTTTTTACTTTACCACAAGTGATTACCCAAGCTCAAAGCTAGTTATCTTCATTTAGCGCATTATTTTCTTCCAGGCTCCACACTGAGATTAGAGAAGACAACTGCCTGAAAAGGACTACCAGGCCACACACACACTCAAAACTTCCCTAAGGAGCAGCACTCTCAGAGCGTGGCGTAAGAAAACGTTGTAGGTAGAGCATGCTGACAGCCCTACTCGTCCAGGAACGAACTCTCAAGATATCATCACGTGGCCAAAAATAAAGGCCGGGCTCAGGGCTCCAAACGAGCCGCGGCGGAGAGCGCGCAAGTGACAGACGCAGCGCACTGCGGTACGACAGAGGCGGGGCCAAGTCCGTAAAGCAGCGTCCCGAGGCCAAGTAGGCGCTGAGGTGGAAAGGGTGCTGGTGAAAGATTTGTGGCGGTGCAGGCATGGCTGGTCCATTCCAGGGTGGTGGGGCCAGGGCTCTGGGCTTGATCCGGACCCTGCCCCGTGTGAGTCTGGCCAACCTAAAGCCGAATCCAGGTTCGAGGAAACTGGTAAATCGCTGGTTGGCGGTGCGGGAAGCGCTGGGGGACGGGGGCCACGAGAGCGGCCCTTTACGGTCGTGCTAGAGGACTCCTTTCCCGAAGAGTGTTGGGTTGAACGTAGGATTGCAATCCTTCATTGCAGAGAGAATAATCTTCCCATGTGGTTCCGATTCTTAATAAGGTTTACATTTAAAAGTGTAATTGTTCATTAGAGCGGAGCTTCGAAGACGCAAAAACTACAAAATGACCGCCTCATTCAAAATTGGATTTAAAATGAAGTGCTTTTCTAATGTATCCTTGTCTACATGAGAAAGAATTGAGTTGATTTGCTGTTAGACGTCTCTTGAAAAATCACTGAATACAGCTCTGAAAAGTTGACATACTGTCATTTTAAAAAATTAGCACCTTTTGTGAGGTCACAGGAAATAAAAATATTTTCCTAGGTTAATCTTTAAATAAAAATAATATACGTAACAAACACATATTTACAATTAATTGCAAAATAAGTTTTTTCGAATATCCTGTATCGTTTGTTGTGGATGTTTAATTTTAGCATTTTTCGGTGCAAGCTTGTCATAGAATCCTTATTCATTGCCTTTTAAACAACTTGGACGTTGCAGGAATCGGCTACATCTTCAGAGGCAAAGAGATACTGATTCAGAGTGTGTAGACATTAGAACAGCTAGAACTGTTCAGGGCACATAGTTTTAGCTAGTTTGGGTCGGTTGGATGAATAAATGCCATAAAATATATACATATAGTGAAAAGGTAAAATACAGTTTTTTAAAAAATGCATCAGTAGATCATAAAACTTTCTTTGTAGGAAAGACGACGAAGAGGTCGGAGAAGAGGTAGAAAATGTGGCAGGGGCCATAAAGGAGAACGGCAGAGGGGAACACGGCCCCGACTGGGCTTCGAGGGAGGCCAGACCCCATTTTACATCCGAATTCCCAAATACGGGTTTAATGAAGGCCATAGGTAAGGTTGCTTTTGGTTTTTAAAGTAAAAGCCCCTAATTTCACTGAGAATAACTTAAAAAAATAGCTTGGTACAAATTTAAATTCATTTTGAAACCAACTTTTGTTATTGTTTCTCTGAATTATTTTTGGTAATGAAATTTAGCCTGAATTTGTAGGAAGAAAACCCCAGACATTGCACTTAGACCTGCTTAATGGAGATAATAATCCCTGCTCTCGTAGTTGTTCAAAGGCTTAGCAAAACATATATAAAAATTTGGCCCATTGTCACCCAGTAATTTTTCACAAATTTATTTGTGTAAATGAGTGAAATAAATGCTTAGAGAGGTAAATTATTTTACCAAAAAACAAGCAGCTGTTAAAACAGCTAACTGTTTTAAAAAAAATCACAGAACAAAGCTTTGAGTTGAATTGGAGGACTTACAGAAAGTTAAGTTTCTTATCTTTCTGAGTTTTTCAACTGTTACTTTCTCGTAGCTTCAGACGCCAGTATCAGCCTTTGAGTCTCAACAGACTGCAGTATCTTATTGATTTGGGTCGAGTTGATCCCACTCAACCTATTGACTTAACCCAACTCGTCAATGGAAGAGGTGTGACCATTCAACCACTTAAAAGGGATTATGGTGTCCAGTTAGTAGAAGAGGTAAGTCTAGATTTTTTGGGAGTTATATAGAAGGGTATTTCTGATTTCTATATAATCATCACTTTGCCTTCTTTTATTTTTATCCCTTTTAAGTTGTTACAGTTATTACATAGTGGTGATTGAGTAGTGAGCTATACTCAGTTGTGCACTCTAAACTGTGTTTTAGAAAGCCAGCATTCTTTCGTTATGGGGCCTCTCATCCATGGTCCTGGAAGGCTCTTCTGTGTATCTCTTCACCTGGCCCCATCACTTTCTTTGGTTCTCTGGTCACATGTCACCTTTTTACATTTTTTTTTATATTAAAGGTTTTATTTATTTATTTTTAGAGAGGTTAGGGAGGGAGAAAGAGAGAGAGAGAGAAACATCAATGTGCGGTTGCTGGGGGCCATGGCCTGCAACCCAGGTATGTGGCCTGACTGGGAATGGAACCTGCGACACTTTGGTTCGCAGGCTGTGCTCAATCCACTGAGCTACGCCAGCCAGGGCACCTTTTTACATTTTTTATTAGGGAGCACTCATACATCCCATCTCATCCCCCACCCCCACAGTCATACTTGGTCTGCCTTTCCCTGCTCAAAGTATTTTTCTTTGAATATATGAACTCCTGACATTTATTACCATGCAATGTATTTAGTTTTTATTGTCTTCCTCACTATCATGTAAGTTATTTGCGTGCAGTTTTCTGTTTTTTATCAGTTGGCCAGGAGTTTCAAAAGCAAATAAACTTGTACATTGTTAATCAACTATTCCTGTTTCTTGTATGTCAGTAATATAGCTGTGTGCACTAGAGGGAAACATGTGTTTCTGGAAAAATATTTTAAGATTCCTTTCAAAAAATAAACCTTATGGATAAAAGCATTCCAAATAAAATGATTTGAAAAGAGAATACTAAATATACAATTAAGCCTCAGTATTTACTCAGGGTATACAAGAAGATATGTATATAATTAAGCTGTGGAAAAATCCATGACCTCATCAGCCATTAAAGTGTGCACATCTCAGCAGCTTTTAAGCATGTGTCTACTCTAGCTGAAATAATCGTGAAGATTACATCAGGGCAGTGGCTTCATAAGTAGTGTTACATATCATTTATAGCTTTGTAAATAGGTTGACCATTTCTGGATTTCAGATTTGCAATAAAAAGTGACTATTAAGATTATTTTTATCCTTCAGCGCAACAATACCAATTTGGGAATGTATGTACTAAAGGAAAAACAAAAGAAACCCAACTGATACAAAGATATTCCTAAAAATCCTTTCCATAATACTGAAAATAATGGAACTAACTCCAATGCCCAAGGATAGAAAAATGGTTAAGCAATTATGGCGTAATAATTAAAAATCACAGATACCATGATAAAATGTTATTTTGTTGAGTCAGAGGTGCCATTGATTATACAAATGCAGGCTAGAGTTATAAATGGAAAAAAATTGTGAGAAAATGTGTCTTGAAATTGATGGAACATTTTGAGATACATTAGAGTTTTATAATTAAGAAAAGGAACTTGATTAGGGGCCAGCTTATTTCAGCCATACCAAATTAGCAAAATATTTTTGTCACCACTAAAGAGATGCTATTGGCCACCATCTCTTTATTTTTGTTAGAATATTTTGAAACTAAAGTGAAATAGTCCTGGCTGGGTGGCTCAGTTTGAAGCATTGTCCTATACACCACAAGTTTGTAGGTTTGATTCCCAGCCAGGGCACATACCTAGGTTACAGATTTGATTTCCAATTGGGATGCATATGAGAGGCAACCAATTGATGTTTCTCGCTCAAATCAATGTTTCTCTGTTTCTCCCCCACTTCCCCACCTCCTCCCCACCATTCTCTCTCTCTTTGAAATTAATTAACATATCCTCAGATGAGAATTAAAAAAATAATAAAAATAAAGTAAAATACAGCACACACATCCAAACTAAAGTGACCAAAAACTTTAAAGTTTAGTACTGCATTTTTTTAGTGTTGACCGTTCTCAGGAAAGATAGACATCATCATCATTATGTTTATTATTACCAGTTTAGAGGCTATAATAAAATCAATAGTGAATGCAAACTAAATTTCTGTTATTCTACTTTTTTCCCTAGAGGGAGCTGACCCCTCTAAAGCTCAGATATGGTTGTCAGATCTTTTGTTCTTTCCCTGGTTCTAACCCACTCATCCCCCTCTTTAATCATCTCTTGGCCTCTTGCTTATTTAGGGATGAGAAAGTTAAGTTTTTATCTATATCATACAGCATAGTGTAGTTAAGGATATAGATGTGTGTGACTAAACTCCCTGGATTAGAAACCTAGCTTTGTGGTCTTGAGCAGTTTCCTTAACCTCTCTACTTCAGTGTCCCCATCAATGGCATTGGTTTAGCAGTAATTCTGTCATAGAGTTGTTAGGAGAATTATACAGTCTACATTTAATGAAGTACTGGGAGTGGGCAGTTATATTGAGGTCTACTAAAGACATCAAGTGAAAAGATAGTCATCCCTGATTACAAGGAATGAAAATTGGTAAAACAAGAGGTCTAAAAAATGTAAAAAATTTGATATTATTTGATAGGATGTCAGAGCAGAGGTATTTAAAGTAGGAATGATTAAAAAAATAGGAATGACTGTTATATTATAGGTACTATGGAGGAGAAAACATTGTAAAATGGAAGGTTGCCATAATTTACTTCAATTCAAACTATCTACTAAGAGACTTTGTTTTAACATATTACAGGGTGCTGACACCTTTAAGGCAAAAGTTAATATTGAAGTACAGTTGGCTTCAGAACTAGCCATTGCTGCAATTGAAAAAAATGGCGGTGTCATTACTACAGCTTTCTATGATCCAAGAAGTCTGGGTAAGCTTGTTCTGCAGTATTTGTCTTTTCTTCTTTGTGTCATCCTGGTTGCCAAGAGGATTTTAAAAGTCCTCATTGTTCATTGACTTGCAGTTCAGGAACTTTGGTTTTCTGTTTTAGGATTTCTTATTAGTGGTTTGGCTGGTGGGGCTCCATCTTTTTTTAATGTACTTGAACCAGTATGACATAAAGAGGTTTAGTTTTTGATTTTAAACATGAGGCTTAAATATGGTGTTACCTATGCATAAGAAATTCATTATTCATTGGTAACTGAGTAGTAACTTTGACTTTTAAGATGTAAACTTTCAAAATTAAAGCATTTCCATTTTCTTAAAATTAGCCTATTAAAACAAGTTATTAGAATTAAGTTCTGATCTTGATAATATTTAAAAAATAATTAAGACAATTATTATTAAAGAACATCTATCTATCTATATAGCCAATATTTATATCTCTTTTTTTAATTTGAAAATTTTTTTTAGAAATTCTATGCAAACCTGTTCCATTCTTCCTGCGGGGACAACCCATTCCAAAAAGAATGCTTCCACCTGAAGCCTTAGTCCCATATTACACTGATGCAAAGAATCGGGGTTACCTGGCGGATCCTGCCAAATTTCCTGAAGCAAGACTTGAACTTGCCAAGAAGTATGGTTATATTTTACCTGATATCACTAAAGATGAACTCTTCAAGATGCTTAGTACTCGAAAGGATCCAAGGCAGATTTTCTTTGGTCTTGCTCCTGGATGGGTGGTGAATATGGCAGATAAGAAAATCCTAAAGCCTACAGAGGAGAATCTGCTCAAGTATTACAGCTCATGAATTTTCTTCCAAGAAAGCAGAGTTGTAAGAGAATACTGGAAAAGGGAATGAAACATATGTATTACTCATTGCATTTCCTTTGTAATTCTCCAGATGCCTTTTAAAAAATGTTTTTGGTATAATCGTATCTTTTTTTCACTTTTATCCAAAATTAAAAATGCAGTAAACAAGGACTGCATAGAGGGACTCAAACTGTGTGGGTTCTATCGAAGATACTCCCTGATGGTCTGCCAAAGGAAGATTATAACATTTAGAAATATAACATATTTCTAGCTCTGCCCAATGTGGCTTAGTGGATTGAGTGCTGGCCTGCAAACCGAAAGGTCACTGGTTCAATTCTCTGCCCCAGCATGTGCCTGGGTTGTGGGTCAGGTCCCTAGTTGGGAGCATGCAGGAGACAGCTGATTGATGGTATGACATATTTCTCACACATTAAGGTTTTCCTCACTTTCCCCCCTCTCAAAAAATAAATAAAATCATTTTTAAAAGAAGCAAGAAAGAAAAAGACTAACTTTAAAAAAAAATTTTTTTCTAGCTGATTTTTTTATGATCTTTTCATCCAGGTCTTGTCATTTTTGCAAATCAGAATGAATGGGTAAATGTTATGGGATTTATTTGCAGGCCTGCTCAGTCAAGGTTAGAACAGTTGCTAGTCAGCAGGTAGGTGCCCCCTCTTAATCAGTAGCCTCAAGGGAGCCCTGCTATCCTGTGTTAGGACGGTAAACCTCCAACTTGAGATTAAGATGTGGAATGTGAGTATAAGGTTTAAGACTGGTGAATGACTTCTAAGAAGTACAGTATTTGCTAGCAAGTTGAAACAAAAATTTAAGTGAATTTTCTCAACTCTGATGCACAATTCACAAACAAGCCACTATTTTTTCTTGACAAAAATGTTCTAATTCTTACTAATATACATTTACTTATTTCATAGATATTGTAGACCTTTATCTTTCAGTCATTTTAAATGATGTTGAAAAATTGTTCATTAAGTGTATAAGCCATAAAAACAGTAATGTGAAAAATTAAACACAAGTTAATATAAGATTCAGCAGTCGGTAAACTTATTTAGATTTTCAGTTATATCTACCACAGCATAGATAAAATGATTCTCACTATGTATATTCTTAAAATAAAAAATTTAAAAACCTAAATGGTGCAATATTTTGTTAACTTATTTACCTCATATACTGATGGCCTGAAATTCAGTTTGTAATTTATATACCAGAAGTTTATTTCAATTTTTATTCAGGATTATGTAGTTTGGCTTGTTATTAAACTATTCCTTAAAATACCAGAACTTAGGAAAATCTATTAGGATCATCTTCTATGATAGCCACTCAGGAATTTCAGAGGACAGGCAAAAACATAAAAACGTGTTTTTATTTTTCAGATACCCCAAGTAACAGAGTTGGGGTATTAGGATTGGTTTTGGCTCCATTGATAACCCCAAATCACAGTTGCTTGAATGAGGTGAAGTTTATCTTTTTCTCTCAGAGGGAGTGCCAAGGGTTAGTGCAGGGCTCATTGCTGCCTCTGCTCCACAACATCTCAGAGCCCATGGCTTCTCCCTGTTGAGCTCTAATCTCTAGAGTGAGATGGACATCTTCATAATCCAAATTGAGATCAATAAGGAGTTAGCTTTTCCTAAGGAAGATTCAGAAAACCTCGACACAAAATCAATGCTGAAACCCGACTGGCCAGAGCTTGGATACAGTGCTCTTCTGCAAAACAGCCTGAAGTCTTTACTTTGGTAACTTACATTCTTAGCTTAAAAGTTCTGTTACAATGGGTGAATAAGAGGATATATTGGAGAACAGGGGAATTGACAACTATTTTGGTATCCATCAAACTTCAACCTCTAGGTTAATTGACTTACAGTAGAAAAACATCAGAAAAAATACAGAACTCTTTAATTTTATGTTTAGTATATGCACCATTCTGGAAGGCTGAGTTCAGTAAGTTATGAAAGTCAGTAAGTTGGTTAATTCATCAATTTTGGTGGGCAAAATGGTTTTGAAAAAGTGATAGCATAGCACCAGAAAACAATCAAAAATCATTTCTTATGTGCTTGCTTTTTCTAAATATTTTGAAAGCCATCTTATGCTCCCTATATTCTTTAATACCAGAACTTAGGACAATACCAGAACAATATATATCCCTATATTAGGTATCTGAAAAGTTACATTTGAATATAGTGTATAGAGGAAGAGAGATGATAGGTTGCAAAAAAAAATGCTAAGGTACAAAGAAAATTTTTTCAGTGATTATAATGAGTCACTAAGACTCAGGAATATAATACATTTTCTTTTTTAAAAAATCACTGCTGGGGAAAAAACCTAATTATTATTATAAAAGTAATTCATGTTTGTTTTAAAATTATGTAATAGTGAAGTATAAAAGGTGAAAGTCCATATTCTCATTTTCCTGCCCAAATTCTTTTCCTAGAGCTGACTAAACCACTTAAGTTTGGAGTCCTTTCTTTTTCCCAGTCAAAAAGGAATAGACTTGCACATTCTGAATTTGCTTATGATATCTAATGTATTTCAAAGACACTTTTTCTGAGTATTTTCCATTAGGGTATTTAAACTTTGCACCCTATTCTTAAGCTGTCTGAAATAGGAGACGTTAGATAGGTCACTTAACCTTTCTTAACTGTAAAGTGCAGTGACACCAAATCTTTGTATGATACAAAAGTTGTGTAAGGTGACCTAAAGTCTCTAAATTCTAATATACAATGAGGATAAAGATGCCACCTTGAACTAAGGAAACCTTTGACATCAATCTATCTGCATAGAAATGAACTTCCTTAAATTTAAACACATCTTTTTCTGTATTTGGGCATGAAATGGAGCATCATTCTAGGTAAGTTACTGCCTCAACTTATTTGTGCTGCTTGAGGTTTTCCTTTTGTGATTCAATTCACAATTGTTAGATAGGCAGGTATTGCCTCAACAGCAAAGTTCTTAATTGGAAATAAGGGAGATTAGTCAGATGAGGGTAGATTACTTGGGCAATGGCCCTTCAGTCTCAGAATTCTTTTGCAGTTTTTTTAATTGAATTTATTGGGGTGACATTGGTTTGCAAAACCATACAGATCTCAAATGTACAACTCAATAAAACATCATCTGCACCACTGTATCGTCATGCACCCATTGTCCCCATTTTCCTCAGCTTTGCCCACCGCCACCCAGTTCCCACCCCACTTTCCCTCTGCCTATCACTATACTGTTGTCTGTATCTATGTGTTACATGTGGTGTATATGTTTTTTGGTTAATCCCTTCACCTTTCATCCAAACGTTCAACCCCTCTCCCTCTGACAGCTATTAGTCTGTTCCATGTATCCATGCCTCTATTTCATCAGTTTATTTTGTTCATTAGATTCCACACATAATTGAGATCATAGGGTATTTGCCTTTCTCTGTCTGGCTTACTTAGCATAATACTTGTCAGGTCTGTTCATGCTGTTGCAAAAGGTAAGATTTCCTATTTTATAGCCACATAGTATTCCATTGTGTGAATGTACCACAGCATTTTTATCCACTCATCTACTGATGGGCACTTGGGCTGTTTTCAGAGCTTGGCTATCATAAACAGTGCAATGAACATAGGAATGCATATATTTTCTTGAATACTGTTTTGGGATTCTCAGGATATATTCCCAGAAGAGGTGTGATAGGTACTTCCTATCATATTTAATTTTTCCATATTTAATTTTTTGAGGAAAGGTGTTTCCATATTTAATGTTTTGAGGAAACCATACTGTTTTCTACAGTGGCTGTACCAATCTGCATTCCCACCAACAGTACACTAAGGTTCCTTTTTCTCCAGCACCTGTTTGTTAATTTATTGATGCATAGCCATTCTGGCAGGTGTAAAGTGATTCTTCATTGTGGTTTTAATTTGCATTTCTCTGATGGTTAGTGACATTGAGCATTTTTTCATATATCTGTTGTCCATCTGTATGTCCCCTGGGGAGAAGTGTGTATTCAGGTCCATTGCCCATTTTTTAATTGGATTGTTCATCTTCCTGGTGTTGAGTTGTATAAATTCTTTACATATTTCGGAAATTAACCTCTTACCAGATGTATCATTGACAAATATATACTCCCATACAGTGGGATGTCTTTGAATTTTTTAATGATTTCTTTTCCTGTGCAAAAGCTTTTTAGTTTGATGTAGTCTCCCATTTATTTATTTATTTGAATCCCTTGTCCTAGGAGACATATCAAAGATATTGCTGTGAGAGATGTCTGGGATACTACTGCCTATGTTTTCCTCTAGGATTTTTATGGTTCATAACTTACATTTGAGTCTTTTCTCTATTTTGAATTTATTCTTATGTAAGTTGGTGCTCTAGTTTAATTTATTTGTATATGCCTGTCTAGTTTTTTCAACACCACTTATTGAAGAGACTGTCTTGTATGCTCTTCCCTCATTTGTCAAATATTAATTGACCATAAAGATGTGGGTTTGTTTCTGGGCTCTCTGTTCTGTTCTATTGATCTGTATGCCTGTTTTTATGCCAGTACCAGGTTGTTTTGATTGCAACAGCCTTGTCGTATAGTTTGATATCAGGTAATGCAAACCCTCCAACTTTGTTCTTTCTGAAGATTGCTGAGGCTACTTGGGGATTTCTCTTCCCCTCCCCTCCCCTCCCCTCCCCTCCCCCTCCCCTCCCCTCCCCTCCCCTCCCCTCCCCTCCCTCCCCTCCCCCTCCCCTCCCCTCCCCTCCCCCTCCCTCCCCTCCCCTCTCCTCTGCTTTCTCTTTTCTTTTCCTTTCTTCTTTCTTTCTTTCTCCATGTAAGTTTTTCAAATATTTGTCCTAGATCTAGGAAATATGCTGTTGTTATTTTAATAAAAATCGTGTTGAATCTATAGGTTGCTTTGGGTAATATGAACATTTTATGATGTTAATTCTTCCTATCCATGAACATGGTATATGCTTCCACTTAATTTGTATCTTCCTCAATTTCTTTCTTCATTTTATTCCTAGGTACTTTTTATTGTATTTTTATGGGATTTTTTTTTAATATCTGTTTCTTATAGTTCATTATTGGTGTACAAAAATGCAACTGATTTCTGCATATTTATTTTGTATACTGCTACTTTGCTGAATTTGTAAGATCTAGTAGATTTTTGATGGAGTCTTTAAAGTTTTCTATGTACGATATGTCATCTGTGAATAATGACAGTTTTACTCCTTCCTTACCAATTTGAATGCTTTTTATTTCTTCTTTTTTGATTGTAATCGTTAGAACTTCCAGTACTATGTTGAATAAGAGTGGTGAAAACAGACAACCCTGTCGTGTTCCTAATATAAAGGGATATGCTTTTAGTTTTTGCCCATTGAGTTTGATGTTGGCTGTTGGTTTGTCATATATGGCCTTTATTATGTTAAGGTATGATCCCTCTCTTTCCACTTTTCTGAGAGTTTTTATCATGAATTAGTGCTGGATTTTATCAAATGCTTTCTCTGCATCTATTGATATG